TTTCTTTCTTTCTTTCTTTCTTTCTTTCTTACTTTCTCTTCTTCTTCTTCTTCTTCTTCTTCTTCTTCTTCTTCTTCTTCTTCTGCTTCTTCTTCTTCTTCTTCTTCTTCTTCTTCTTCGAGACAGGGTTTCTCTATAGCTTTGGCTGTCCTGGAACTCCCTCTGTAGACAAGGCTGCCCTCGAGCTCACAGAGATCTGCCTGCCTCTGCCTCTGCCTCCCGAGTGCTGGGATGAAACACATGCACCACCACCGCCACCAGGACTCTTAGCCTGGGGGTCTTGGCATATGTTTTTCATCCCAGCACTCGGGAGGCAGAGGCAGGTAGATCTCTGTGAGTTCCAGGGCAGTCAGAGCTACACAGAGAAACCCTGTCTCAAACAAACAAACAAGCAAGCAAGCAAACTAGAGTTCTTCCTTTATTCAGGCCAGCAACTGAGAACAGGTCCCTGCCAACAAAGGAGCTATCAACCCAGAAGTTGGGCAGGGTAGGGTTTGTAAAGCTAAAACCACAATTGCATCATACCAGTTGCAGGCTGAGGATTTATTTTTTAAAATTGGGTTAGTTTATTTTGAGAAAAGAGTCTTTCCATGTAGCCCTGGAACTCATGATGTAGACCAGGCTGACCTTGAACTCAGAGATCTACCTGCCTCTGCCTCTCAGGTTTCAAAGCAAGAAAGGGGGAACCCTTTGATCTGTTAACCGTCTTATAAGCATTGTTTCTCAGAAGGGAGACACTGGTTCTGGCAAACAGGATGTGGTTGTGGAGAGGATGAAGTGTGGAGTCAGGGTGACCACACAGAAACTCTTTTGGACCCCTTAGGACCAACTAACCTAAAGTCACTGAAATCTCTGACTGGTCTCTGTGCTGGTATTAAAGGCATGCACTTGCCATGCCAGGTGAATACATGTTACAGTGAAGCCCACTCATGTTGTTAGGTGTAACTTGTCTTTCCTTCTGAGAAAATGTCTGTTAACCCCAGTGTCTAATCCTAAACTGAAATACAGGAAACCCCAATTCAGCTTCAAAAAATTTTTTAAAAATAAGATGAAGCAAGCTAACTGTGGTGCACACTTGTAACTCCAACACTTGGGAAGTGGAGGAATTAAGGAATTCAAGGTCATCCTTGGCTACATACAAAGTTCCAGGCCAACCTGGGTTACAAGATATCCTGTATTAAACAAAAAAATAATACATAAACTTGAACTTTATAGTACATAAGTTATATACTAACAGAGGTGTTTCTTTTTAAGTCTATAATAGAGCAAATCCAATTTTAGTAGGGTAAATTGTCAAGACTGCCTTGACCAATCTTGTTATTTACATCAGAAGGAGAAAAACAAAAGCCCTAATTTCCTTCCCCATAACTATCTCTCAAGAAGCAAACCCTAATGGGAAAGCCTTGGAGGCAGAAATGACAACAGTTACTGTACAAACCTCTCTCTAGTACAGCTTTCAGGGTTGGTGTCTTAGCTTCCTATTGTTGCGATGAACACCATGACCAAAAACTATTTGGGTAGGAACAGCTTCATTTGACTTACACTTGCATATCGTAGTCCATCATCCAGTAAATTACCACAGGAACTCAAAGCAGAAACCTGGAGGAGAGAACTGAAGCTAAGGCCTTGGGGAAACCACTCATTGGCTTGTTGCCTATGATTTACTCAGCCTGGTTTCTTATACAACCCAGAATCGTCTGCCCAGAGATATCACTACTCACATTGAAATGGACCCTCCCACATCAATTACTAGTTAAGAAAATTAGTTAGTGGGTGGTGGTGGTACACACCTTTAATCCCAGTATTGGGGAGGTGGACAGGCAGAGATTTCTGAGTTGAGTCCAGATTTATCTACAGATTGAGTTCCAAGGCAACCAGAGCTACACAGAGAAACCCTGTCTGGAAAAACCAGAAAGAAAGAAAGAAAGAAAGAGAAAGAAAGAAAGAAAAAGAAAGAAAGAAAGAAAGAGAAAGAAAGAAAGAGAAAGAAAGAAAGAAAGAAAGAAAGAAAGAAAGAAAGAAAGAAAGAAAAGGGGAGGGAGGGAGGGAAAGAAAATGCATCACCATAAACTTGCCTCCAGGCAAATATTTTCAAGGTAGTAAGGGACCAAACCCTCACCCAGCCCCAGAAGTTAGCTGGCAGGCTCTGAATGTGCTTTATGGTAACAGTGGTGTACAGAGCATAACAACTGCCCTAGGAGGGTCTATAGGCCATTGCAACCAGTTGACCAGTCAACACAAGAAGTGTACCAATCCTGAGATTGTTGTAGACCCCCCTAGACACTCCCCTTGCTCTACCCAATAAATTCCCTGCCTTGCAGCTCCTTCTGCTCCTTCTTGCCCCACTCGGCTCTGTCGGATGCACAAAGGAATCGAGTTAATACAGTTAACTCATTAAATAATAAAAGACTGTTTGCGGGCTGGAGAGATGGCTCAGAGGTTAAGAGTACTCTGCCTGTTCTTCTTGAGGTCCTGAGTTCAGTTCCCAGCAACCACATGGTGGCTCACAACCATCTGTAAAGAGATCTGGTGCCCTCCTCTGGCCTGCAGGCAACATGCAGGCAGAACACTGTACACATAATAAATAAACCTTTAAAAAAGAAAAGAAAAGAAAAAAGACTGCTTTTGCATTGGAATGGGTCTCTTGGTCATTTTGGAGTTTAGAATTTGGGCACAACAGTAGTTCTTGAGTTTGTCTTCCCAAATGACTCCAGCTTGTATCAAGTTGACCTAAAAGTAGCCAAGAGGCTTTGGTAAGGGTTGATTACAAAATGTCTTGAGGACAGCTGAAGAAATGAATCTGCTGGTTTCAGGTGTTAGGATTTAGGCATTATGCTAGCCTGCCTTTGTCACCTGGCAGGATGCACTCAAGCAGTACACTGACCAGTCTAGGGTCCTATGGCTGCTACATCACTACAGGTACAAAAGGCCCCTTTAAGAGACAAACTTCTAGCCAGGCGGTGTTGACTCATGCCTTTAATACCAACACTTGGGAGGCAAAGGCAGGAGGATCTCTGTGAGTTTAAGGCTAGCCTGGTCTACAAATCCAGTTCCAGACAACCAGGGCTATTATACAGAGAAACCCTGTCTTGAAAAAAAACCGAACAAACAAACAAACAGACAAGCTCCGCCCACTTCCAATTTCTCCCTTTGCAGGTCTTTCCTATCCTCTCTCTCTCTCCCCTCTCTCCCTTATGCCCACCCCACTCCCTTCCCTTCCCCCAGTAAAACCTCCCAAGTAAGCTTTGCCTGCATGGCATGTTTGTCCCTCAACTGCCATGGGGCTTCTCACCAAGGTTCTTCTAAGGCAGTATCATTATGACATTGGTGCCAATAAACTCAACAGGCCCCTCCCAGCACCCATCCTGAGGCACTTGGGGACCCTGGAACCTTCAACTGTGTCACTTTTCCCACTAAAAGATCACTGGATCTCTCCATCCAACACTGGCATAATCAGTAAGCCATGCCTTCATCACCTCTGACAATTTCCCACAAATGAGGGCAAGACAGATTGGATGACCTAACTGCCATCTTTACTAAGGGTGACCACATAGACAACTGCCATTTTAGTAAGGGCAAACTGAAGCCTAAACATTTGTTTGACCTAGGGATTATTCAAGTCCTGTTTAAAATGTGTGTGCGCTCTGGAACATGTATGTGACTTGGGTTTAACTTTATATGAGTAAAAGATAGCTAACTTTAACTCTGTGTGTATATCTGGTTTAAAATAGATTTTATATGGTGATAAAGGCATCACTCTGGCCACAGTCCTATGACAGTCTGTGTGCAGGCACAAAAGACCCCTTTAAGAGACAAGCCCCACCAATTCCCACTTTCCAGCTGTTCTTCTGAAGAGGCAGGCAGGTCTTCACCTCTCTCTCCCCCCTATCCCTTCCCCCGATAAAACCACCCAGCTAAGCTCTGTCTGCATGACCAAATAGCTGCTCATTAAATAGTGACCACAGGGGCTAGTGAATGTTCAGGATTAGATCACCGGCTGCTTGTGCAGAGGACCTGGGTTCAACAACTCCCAGAACCCATAACCATCTGTACCTAGTCCCAGGTGACAGACCTACATGCAGACAAAAGAACCATACACATTAAAAAAAAATGAAACAAACCCAGAAACAGTACTCCGAGAAAAATTATTTCCCAATAATGTGAAAATAAAAGTAGCTGTATGTCTGTGTAATCACATGACTTTGTAGAATGGAGGTCAACCTGAGATGTCTTCCTGAAGGCTATCTACTATAACATTTTGAGATAGTCCCTCACTGTGGTGATTTGAATAATAGCCTCCAGGGTTGGATAAGCACATGCACATGGCAGCTAACTCCAGTTCCAGGAAATTGGACACCCTCATACAAACATATAAGCAAAAACCCCAGTGTAGCCCGGCCGGCAGTGGTGGGGCATGCCATTAGTCATAGCACTCGGGAGGCAGATCTCTGAGTTTGAGACCAGCCTGGTCTACAAGAGCTAATTCCAGGACAGCCTCCAAAGCCAGAGAAACCCTGTCTCCAAACACCAAAGGAAAAAAAAAAAAAAAAAGCCTCCAGCCTCATATTTGAAGGTTATGGAGTGGTTGGGTGTGGACATGTAGGAGCAAGTTTGTCATTGGGGTGTGGGGGAGGGCTTTGGCATTTCAAATGCCCAAGGTAGGGCCAGTGCTGCTGCTCATCCTGCATGCTGCCATGCAGATAATGGACTAACCTCTGAACTGTAAATCAAGCTCAAATGAATGACTTCCTTTCTAAGTTGCTGTGGTCATGTGTCTCTTCACAGCAATAGAAACCTTCACTGAACCCAGAGTCTGATCACAGTTGTGGCTAGCCAATAAGCTCTAGGTCTCCACCTACACTGATGATCCAATGCTTTATGAACTGAGTGTCTTGTGTTTTCCAGACAAGGTCTCACTATGTAGATCCAGCTGTCCTGTAAACCTGACCCTGGTGGGATCAAAGGCAGCCCAATGTGTCTTAATAAACTGAGCAATCTAATCACCGTTCAAGGTTTATTTGGTGTTTTCATTGGCATGACACTTGGGTAGTTGGTTGCATCATCCATATGCAGATCTTATTTCTTATACAATATTTCAAAGTACACCACAGAAACATAATACACAAAATAATATCCTTTAGAACAGTTATGCACAAGATATGCATGATGGACTTACACACTGGAGCCAGGTTGTGACTAACTGGGAACTCATTGGCCTAGGCAAGTTTGGTAAAGGGTGCAGAGCAGACACAGGCTAACGGCTAATTGAAGCCTGCAGATAATTGGCAGTGTGTTTTGGAGACAGTGGGACTGTCGCACCAACGAGGTCACCGCTACACAAGTACCACTTAGCATCAGGGTAGAGCTGTGGGAAGTGAGGATTTCTCCAGGCTACCTTAACATAACCACACTAACTACAGCTCAGATGAGTAGATAGATGTGTGTGGTCTCCATAGAAACCCTGCTGCAGCCTGGACAGTGAAGCACTAGGGTATCTGAGGACTTCAGAACTGCAGCTCTTTCTGGATCCCCCATAGTGTATCTGCACTCTTCTTCAAGCGGGCCTCCTCTTCAGAAGTTAGAGTCACCTTCACAACATCGGAGATTCCATTTTGTCCCAGGACACAAGGGACACTGAGGAAGACATCATCCTTGATTCCATAGAGACCCTGAACACGAAATGAAAGAGATTACATTTTGCCTACACATCCTCAGGTTTCCTGGGATTCAGCTCTTACACAGTTATAAAGCCTTTTTAAAACAAGCGTGCTGATCTAGTCTGTTCCAGAGATGCCCAGGTATGATGTAACAATGGACAGTGTAATAGAAAGTCATTGAGACAGCAACAGCTAGGCTTGGCACATGTCTGTTACCCGAGCACATGGAAGCTAGAGGTACTTCAAGGTTATCATCAAAAATATATATCTCAAGTTCAAGGCCAGGCCAGCTAGCATTACCTAAGACCCCTGCCTCAAAAAAACAGAAAACAAAAAAACAAAAAACAACCCAACAACAAAAACAAAACAGAAAAAAAGCTGGGCTTTGGTGGCACACGCCTTTAATCCCAGCACTGGGGAGGCAGAGGCAGGTGGATCTCTATGAGTTGGAGGCCAGCCTGGTCTCCAGAGCGACTGCCAGGATAGGCTCCAAAGCTACACAGAGAAACCCTGTCTCAAAAAAACACCAAAAAAACCCCCCAAAAAACAAAACCAAAAAAAAAAGCCCACAAACCCACAAGCCTCAGTAATGTACACAATAAATTACACTTCCCCATTTCTCTAAGACTGGTAACTGAGCAGTGTCTTCCATTTGATCAGCATAACTCTTAGATACCTTCAGTGCTGATAGGACATTAATTAATTCCATAGGTCAGCTATTTCTTTCCAAAAGAAAAGCATGAACGGATGAATTTACTTCAGTCAGTGACTGAGAATTTCCATTAGTCTTCTTAAGACTTTGTAAAGCCAAGAAATAAACCATACAACATGCTTCTCTGCAAATCCATTACCTTAATCATGGTAGAAATGGGATGCACCCGCCTAAGATTCTTCATTATGCTCTCGGCCAAGTCAGCCACAGACAGACCAATGGCCCAGGATGTATAACCCTTCAGTTTGATCACCTCATAGGCACTGTGGAATAGGAAGAATGGGAAAAGGGTGAAGGGCAGGGAAAAAACAAGTAAAATAAATGTTTTACTGAACATATTTTACAATAAAAACCACCAAGACATGTTATATAGTTAAGCATGACCTTTGCCGGGAAGGGCAAACTTTGGCCCTCCCCTCCATGGAGTCTTGTACATTGACAGAGGGAATATTACTTAGTCAAAACAACAAAAATTCTCAGAAATGAAATATGGAGGGGCTGGTGAGATAGCTAAGACTATGGTTAGTGGCAGAAAAACAAAAGTGAAATAATGACCGGACCGAAATGTATCCTGTGTTCCTAGGACTCAAGAGAGTCTGAGTTCCATTCCCAGCACCTCAGAAACTGTATGGGTTTTATTTATTTATTATGTATACAATATTCTGCTTCCATGTGTATCTATCTGCACACCAGAAGAGGGCACCAGATCTCATAATGGATGGTTGTGAGCCACCATGTGGTTGCTGGGAATTGAAACTCAGGACCTCTGAGCCATCTCTCCTCACTGAGCCATCTCTCCAGGCCCATGTGAGGTGTTTTGAACGAGATGTCCTCCATAAGTATAGGATATTTGAAGATCTGGTCCCCAGTTGATAGCTGCTTGGTGAGGAAGCATGTCACTGGGAACAGGCTTTGAGGTTTCAAAAGACAAGCAACATTTAGCTCTCTTCTTCCTGTATGTGGTTAGGATAAGCTCTCAGCTACTTCTGAAGCGGCCTGCCTCCTGCTACCCATACCTCTGGCTCCACCACCATGGATGAACTCTAAACCTTGGGAACCATAAGCCCAAAACAAACTTTCTTCAGGAAATTGGTTTGGTGGTGGTACCTTTTATCACAGCCAACAGAAAGTCACTAATACAAAATCCATGAGGCTTACACACAGCACAGTTGGATCAAGGTCATTCAAGTGAAACAGGCTGAGAAGCAAAGTTCACTTATAGCAGTTATAATATTTACTTAAGAATCTAGAATTTGGCCAGGCGTTGGTGGCCCACGCCTTTAGTCTCAGCTCTCGGGAGGCAGAGGCAGGTGGATCTCTGAGAGTTCGAGACCAGCCTGGTCTACAAGAGCTAGTTCCAGGGCAGCCTCCAAAAGCCACAGAGAAACCCTGTCATGAAAAAACAAAACAAACAAACAAACAAATCTAGAATTTGTGTAAGAACCAAAGCCAGGTGGCGGCGGCGGTGGCCTTTAATCCCAGCATTTGGGCGGCAGAGGCGGGCAAATAGATCTCTGAGTCTGAGGCCATCCTGGTCTACAGGGTTTCAGGACAGCCAGGACTACACAGAGAAACCCTGTCTCTAAAGACAAAAACAAAATGATCCAGGCCATGGTGGCACAGGCCTTTAAACCCTGTACTCGGGAGGCAGAGGCAGGGAGATTTCTGAGTTCAAAGCCAGCCTGGTCTGCAAAGCAAGTTCCAGGACAAGCCAGGGCCACAGAGAAAACCCTGTCTAAAATAAACAACCCCCCCCACAAAAACAAATGAAAGACTCCAGACCATACTTATACCTATATTATCCAAATAAAGAAGTTGGCCGTACTTCTATTAGTATAAATAAAATAAAAAGTTTTGCTATCTTATTTCTGGGAGCTGCAGAGGTGGCTCAATGGTTAAGAGGACCTATGTTTGATTCACAACACCAACAAGATGGTTCACAAGTCTAACTCTAGTTCCAAGGAATCCTGTGCCCTCTTCTGGACTACACGGATACTGCATCCATGTAGTACAGACACAAAGGAAGGCAGAACATCCATACACCCCAAAATACATCCTATAAAAAAGATCCTTCTGAGTGAATTAATATGTTGTCAAGGGTAGAACTAAATTTATTTGATCTTGATTTTAAAAAGATCTTTTTGTATGGCAGATCTGCTTTCAGTTGTAAAAGAACTGCCAAACTATTTTCCTAGGAGATGGTACCACCTTATATTCCCAAGGTGTTACATTTTACAAATGGGAGACTGAAACCAGCATCAGCCCCTCTTACCTGTATTTGGTGTTGCATTTTAGTCTTTATATATATATAGCATTATGATTAACAAAGCTGAAGAAAAATTTTAAACAAAAGCACACAAATGAAGTGCTATGAAAATCTAAACACAGTTTCCATGCTGCCAATCACGAAGGCTCACCTCACCTGTCAACCACCTGCTTGTGAACCTCATTCCACTGCTCCTTGTCGGTATCAGTGCCCAGCTCTGGATTCAGATTCTTCAGGGAGACACCAGCTACATTCACTCCACTCCACACAGGCACTGGAAAAAACAAGCAGCTTACAACAATGTTTCCACAGGAGAGCACAGAACAGTAACCATTCACCTGCCCTCTACCCTCATTTGTGGAGGAAGGCCAAGATTACCAAAGCCTTGAATTTTACAGTGCATAAAACCAAGATCTGCATATTCATTTTTTAAAAGATTTTATTTATTTGCTATATATACAACATTCTGCTTCCATGGATATCTGCACACCAGAAGAAGGTACCAGATCTCATAACAGATGGTTGTGAGCCACCATGTGGTTGCTGGGAATTGAACTCAGGACCTCTGGAAGAGCAGTTGGTGCTCTTAACCTCTGAGCCATCTCTCCAGCCCCAAGATCTGTATATTCTAACACATTTTCCTAACCCACTAAAGTGTAGGCTATGTATTTACAATCAATAACACCAAATTCACACTTTAAGGGGGTTTCACTGGCATCTGAGAATTGCATGAATATAACCTTCTCAACTACAACCTAACAATGTTTCCCCCCACCTGACATGGCTGATCTTGTCATGGGCAGGCGATTCAAGCCAAGTTTAAACTGGTGAATGAATTACATGACTGAAGTTATCCTAAGAACCATGGCTAACACGTCCATCTAGGGACTGAGAGCATAGCTTAGTAGACTGTGCTTAGCACATGTGAGGATCCTGGGTTCAATCACTAGCATCAAGATTAATGAACAGGGGCTGGAGAGATGGCTCAGAGGTTAAGAGCACTGACTGCTCTTCCAGAGGTCCTGAGTTCAATTCCAAGCAACCACATGGTGGCTCACAACCATCCGTTATGAGATCTGATTCCCTCTTCTGGTATGCAGATATACATGGAAGCAGAATGTTGTATACATAATAAATAAATAAAATCTTAAAAAAATTAATGAACAAATAAATGAATGAATAGGCTGTGTACAGTAGCTCATGCCAGAAATTCCCTAGCCAGAAGACAAAGCCTGGACTGTTGAGTTCCAAGCCAGCCTGGGCTACAATGGTAGACCCTGTCTCAATATTAAAAAAATTAACATATCCAAGCTTATTATTTCCCTGTGATAAATGCCATATAACATGGATACTTGAGTTAAGACTTTTCTAAAAAAGAGATTGATTTACTATGTAGATATACAGTGTCTTATGTATGTGTTCTGCTTGCATGTTTGCTTACACACCAGAAGAGGGCATCAGATCTCAATATAGATGGTTGGGAGCTGCCTTGTGGTTGCTAAGAATTGAACTCAGTATCAGGACCTCTGATAATAAGACCTCTGAACAGCAGCCAACCAGTGTTCTTAACAGAGCCATCTTTCTTTTATTTAGTAAAGAAATGCCTAGAGACATTTTACACTATTTTTCTGTTTCCAAAAAGAGAAAAACTGATACTAAAGACTTACCACTGGAGTCTCCATGCTCCCCTAGGACCCATCCATGACAGCTTAGTGGGTGAACACCCAACCTTTCTCCCATCAGATAACGGAATCGAGCAGAATCCAAATTGCAGCCACTCCCAATAACTCGGTTTTTGGGAAAGCCACTTATTTTCCAAGCCACGTAGGTCAAGATATCCACTACAAAAAAAAAAAAAAAAAAAACCCACAAAAATTTAGATAACAGAAGATGGATCAGTATTGTTAAGATCTTTACTGTAACTCATGTCCAAATATTCAAAGTACTATTTAAAACTAACAGTGCACCAATTAAGATAGAATTACTCATAGTTACTTGCTTCTCCAAGATCACAAGAAACTCTAAACTTTGCAACTCCATTTAGAAGCCTTCAACATTCTTTTTTTTTTAAGATTTACTTTTATTTTATGTACACTGGTATCCTGCCTGCATGTGTGTCTGAGTAAGGGTGCTGGGAATTGAACCTGTGTCCTGTGGAAGAGCAGCCAGTGCTCTTAACTGCTGTGCCATCATCTCTCCAGCCCCTTTAACATTCTTAAATGAACTATTTTATAAAAACACAAAGCTACAGGAAACTAATAACACATCATCAGGATAAGCAGGGTGTCTGCTTCTGCACTTTAAAAGCCTCACCTGGGGCCGTGCATTGATGGCGCACGCTTTTTATCCAGCACTCAGAAGGCAGAGGTAGGTGGATCTCTATGAGTTCGAGGCCAGAAGCAGAATCCAGATTGCAGCCACTCCCAATAACTCGGTTTTTGGGAAAGCCACTTATTTTCCAAGCCACGTAGGTCAAGATATCCACTGGGTTTGAAACAATAAGCAGCTTGCAGTCTGGACTGTATTTCACAACGTTGGGAATGATGAACTTGAAGATGTTCACGTTTCGCTGGACCAGATTGAGTCGGCTCTCTCCCTCTTGCTGACGGGCCCCCGCTGTGACAATGACCAGCTTGGAGTTTGCTGTCACACTATAGTCTAGAGAAAAGACCAGAAATGAAGGTCCCTTTGGGGAACTTTTACCTACGCAGCAAAAACTTGTTCTATAAACCGCTGTCCATAGCAGATGGAGATCTATTGACACTGATACCTTCCCTCTGGATGCACTCTTCTAACTGTGGTCTCTTAAGGATGGGAATAATATTGATGCCTTTCTCATACTGCACATTTAGTCACATTTTATTATAACAGGACGGAATACAATATATCTGATCCTCTATCAATTACTTATGTGTATATTTCTACCTTAACATAGGATATTCTCTTTCTCCCCTCCTCCACTTGAGACATACTCCCCATTCCAGGCATTTTCTTACTTTTTAGCTAGCCACTTAATCATTGCTGAGAGCCCAGCAATCTTCTCCTTGCTCTCATTCTTCTGTAGACCCCGTGGTACAGGGCAGCTGACCCAAAGAGATGCCCATCAGGTAAGAGGTCAAAGACTTTCAACCCTGGATTCCTGGCTGGTGCCAGTTAAGTGTAAAAAGGTCAAGAATCTGCTGCACAGGTCTCTAACATGAAATTCTAAAGTCTGGGTCAGTATAGGATGTGGGCAGTGTGGAAGAACATTTAAACATGCAGCAAAGCTGGAAAGGTGAGCAGCCAGAGCACTTGCCTGGTGTGCACAAGGCCCTGGGCTCCATCGTAGCAATATACACTTGAAACAATGTACATTCAGATCTCACTATCTTCTAATTCAGAGGATTTTCATATTTGTACAATCAGTTTTCCACTTAAAATCTTACTAGCAACTGAAGCTTTGATAGGTTTTGAGACCAAAAGTATCCCAAGGCCTTCTGTCTTGAATCAAAGACAGAATTACAGATAGGATTTCAGGCCTGAGGAAGATCTTAAAACTGAAAGCCTAATACAGACAAAGGGAAGTTGGCCCCAACCAACCTTTGCCAGAGACAATTTTTGGTGTTCTGAGGAAAAGGCTGCCATGCTGGAGATCCATCATTTCCCCCTTCAGCTTGTCTTCCATGACATCAACAAGGGCAAGCTCATCTGCTAAGTCCTAAAAGACAAGTATGAGTTAAAAGGGAAACTTATTTTGAGGGTTTTCAGGACATGCAATTTTCTGTATTTCAGGCATCAAAAAGGCAGGGCATTCAAACCCACTGCCTCCCAGATGGCCCCATGCAGAGTCGAATCTGTTCCCCACTGGAAGAGCTTCTGTGGGGGGAGGCTGTTAGTCACTATTGGTTAGTACCACTGCTTGAAACAGTGGTAGACTGTTGCCTAGCATGAGTGAGACCTTAAGATGGGGGAGAGGACTCTGAATTAATGAACTGCAAAGCTGGGCACAGTAATGCATGCCTTTAATGACAGCAGTTGGGAGGCACATACAGTCAAATCCCATCTCCAAGAGAAAAAAATACAGGTGTGGATCAATTTATGAGTGCTGCACAGGAGGAAACCCTGTCCTTAAAACTTTATTTTTAATATTTGGGAGGCAAAGGCAGGCAGATGAGTTTGAGGCCAGTCTGGTCTACAGAATGAGTTCCAGAACAGCCTGGGTTACAAAGAGAAACCCTGTCTTAGCCCCATATATAAAAATATATATATTAACATTTACCCTGAGGGCTGGAGAAATGGCTCTGAGGTTAAGAGCACTGACTGCTCTTCCAGAGGTCATGAGTTCAATTCCCAGAAACCACATAGTGCCTCACAACCACCCGTTATGAGATCTGGTGCCCTCTTCTGGTGTGTAGATATATATGGAAGCAGAATGTTGTATACATAATAAATAAATAAAATCTTAAAAAAAAATTTACCCTGTCTCAGCAAGTGTTTTCTAATGCAATTATGTGGTTATCTGACCAATTAAATTTTAGCTCTGATTGAGATGGCTCGAGGGGAAAGCAATTCCTGCACAAGCCTGGTGAGCTGAGTTTGACCCCCAGAACCCACAAGGTAGGAGAGAAGCCAATTACCCTCAGTTACCCAGTGTGCTCATACACACACACACACTTTTTTCTCAAAGGAAAACTATTATAAGTCAGGGAACATTAGGGATTGGATAGAAATTCAAGATATCCCATTCGGTAGGATATTAATTTTTACCACAGGTACATATACATTTCAATTAAAAATTACTTAAGAGCTGGGCATACAGCTCCAATGGTTACCTACCATATGGGAGACCCTAGGTTCCTTCAACTCCCTGCATTCTTTCTTGCTGGTAGGGCATGCTAACATACTGTAGAGCATTTTAAAAAGGCCTCAGTCTGCTAACCTTTTATAATGTTACTTTGGATAATCCTTTGTGCATCACCATGTTGCAAAATGTTTCATAGAAGGCTCTCTTGAATGAGTGCCTGAAACTTGATAGTTTTATATACAATGTGACAATGTAGGGCCTCCCAATGCTTGGGCTTGTGACCTGAAGGATCCCCACTTACCTTCATGAGGATACTGATGGCACAAGCCATGCCAACAGCACCAACCCCAACAATCGTAATCTTGTTCTGGGGGGTCTGTTCTTCCTTAAGTAGATTCACAATCAGCTGGTCCTTGAGTGTTGCCATCTTGGACTTTGAACTTTTTGGGACCTAAGGTGGAAGCATTTCCTGTCATTGAGGTCACTCCAAAGTATAATCACCAAGTTTATAATCTTTGTATCCTTTGGTCTACTTTCCATTGACTAAAAGGGCGGAAGTGGGAAATGAGAGTAGCCATAGCATGGAAAGCATTAATACCAGGGTCTGCTCTGGTCCTCACCTTGAAACGTAAAAGTAATACCGAGGTCTCCGTGTAAGTGTAGCCTTCCGAGGACTCACTCATTTTGATTAACTCTGAAAGGAGATGGCCTCTCCTTGGACACCATCAGAGAACTGCTCTTCCGCTCTTAATACCCAGAATCCTACAGTAAGTAGGGTGCCAGGTTGCTCCAGTAAGTACCAAAAATCAAGAGCAGAGGGCCCGATAACGGCCACAAGGTGCGACCCTAAGGCAAAGTAACGTGCTGGGGCCCGCGCATGCGCAGGCTTCCCCCCCCCACCACAAGTTTTATGACCAGCCGGGGATCTCTATGACTGACAGGCCATGCCGGGCAAGCCGATGCGCTGGCGCAATTTCAGAGCAGGGTAGTAATATAAGTCTAGTGGCTGCTGGCCATGGATGAGACTTCCAAGTAGGCATTTCGGGGCAGACTTCGGACCTTACTAGAGCCCAAAGCACATGCAAGCACGGTGAGAAGGGGCTGGCAGCCACCTTGGCTTGGCACCAGATTCAAATTTCAAACAGCTATACCAGGAAGCAGGGACTTGTAACCACCCACCAGCTAGGGCGGAGCCTCATCACCCAGGATGAGGCCGGTAAGGGGAAATTTCTTCCGTTCCGAAATGGGTATACCGTTACAGAGGGGCTAAGGCCTAGAGTTTCCTAACCACGAGGGATATATTTCCCCCAGCAAGCACTACGTCTATTTCTGAAATTGTTCCAAAAGAGCAAGTGGATCTCCGGGCAGGCAGCCAGGTCCAACAAGCCGGAATCCGGCCTCCTTACAACCGCTGCTATTTCTAGACAGCCCTGGAAGGTTTCTGCAGGCTGGGGGCAGAGCGGGGAGCTCTTCCTGTCGAGAACCAGCCTCACCCAAACCTCAGTTCCGGGCCTCATTCGGTCAGGATGCCTCTACTTCCACCTGCGACACTGTGGGTGTCGCACCTCTCTGTGCTACAGGTTTCCTCTTTCCGTCTGGGGTGCGGAGGGCTGCCATTCTTCCCGCTCTATCCGCACATAGCGCGCTCCCCAGACTCACCAGGAGCCCTTTTATAAATTATATTCAAGCCAAAAACGCCCTATAATCTGCAGGAAGCAGCCACTCCACCAACCCCCGCAAGGGAAAATGCAAACCGCACAGATTCTCCCAAGTACCCACCCCGGACGTGCTGAGGCTTTTTCGGTCCCCATAGGCTCGAGCAACCGGACCTCAAGTTTCGCACGGGTCTCTTGCATCAGTTCTGTCGCTCCCACCCTCAGGCCAGCCACTCACTAGTCCTTCCCTAGCCACCCGGCTGGCTGCCCCAGGCTGGGTGGAGTCGCCTGCTCCCTTCCCCATAGCGGAGTAGCCCCACGTGCGGACCACCGCCCAGGCCTGGGACCCTCCACCTCCACCCGACTTAGGGACCACCCCCGCTGCATGCAGCGTGGAGCTTGGCCGTACCGCTAATGCACGATGAGCAGCGTCGGGCGAACAGCCGCGTGGTCTGGTATGGGCGACACAGACACAGGCTCCAGCACTCTGGGCTGCGCGCGGGCGGGGCCTTAAATGGAAGCTCCGGGCTGACGTCAGAGTGGGAGCCCAGTGGACGTGCGGGAACCCACGTGTACGCTGGGCCAGGGACGGGCGTCCAGCCGGGCGGGGCCCTGCCGAAACGAGGGCGGCGCGCGCAGCCCGATGGCCCCCGCGTGTGCTGAGATACCTACAAGAAGGACCTAACCTACGTGGTCCGCAGCCTCAGAAGCAGGATCCCGAAAGGCGTTGGTCCTCTGTTTTCTTTTCCTTAAAACTTGTGGGACTCAGGGAAACCCTGGTCACTGTCTCCATTGCTCTTCCCAGCCCTTTCTGGCATGCAACAGGCCACTGTTGGAAACACTGAGGGAAAGCAATGCCGGCACTGTGATGTGCTTTTCTCCTGCTACCCTTCCAAGTCCCAGCTTCTGAGGTCTTGTGAGTCACTTGGGCAGGTTAAGTCCAAGTCTGCACTCTACCACCCTATCCCACCCGGCATTTGTGTTTGAACCTTACCAAAAAACATCAGTGCACTGGTTTGTTTTCACATCCCTCTGTCTTTAAACTTTCTGTAGTCCTTTACTTATTTCCAATTCCTATTCCTTGCCCAGCTTCCCCTTCCCTGTGTGTGACTCTTCAGGTACTCCACTACTGTGACAGGATGTGAAATACAATTTGCAAATGCTTTAATTTCCTTAGGGATAGGAAGGACCTAGTGAATTGTGGCTTTCAGCCCTGCTCACCAACCTCCCGGGAAGAGAGGTGTTTACTGCAGATTAACATCTATTGAAGTCTTGAACAAGATTTGAAGGGCTTCTAGTTTGGGGACCCTGGAGTTCCAGCGGGCACTGACTCCCAGGGAGTTTGGAACTCACAAGCCTCTATACTTGCCCTGGGCATGTCTTTCACCTGGTGTACGCCTGTGTCCATTATGGTATCTTTATAATAGAGTAGACTAGGAATGTGATCAGGGCCAGGGCACTTGCCTTGCGTGCACAAAGGCCTGGGTTCTATCTTCGGCAGAGCACAAAAGAAATAAAAAAATTTAAAAGTCACAACTGGGTCCGGAGACATGACTCTGCCATTCATTAAGACCACAAGAGCTTGTAACATCAGATCCAGGGGATCCAACATCCTTTTCTGGCCTTCATGAAGCCTCCCTCTCCTATACACAGATAATTAAAATTAATTTTAAAAAGTCAGAACAAGTGGCGCACGCCTTTAATCCCAGCACTTGGGAGGCAGAGGCAGGCGAATCGCTGTGAGTTCCAGGCCAGCCTGGTCTCCAGAGCGAGTGCCAGGACAGGCTCCAAAGCTACACAGAGAAACCCTGTCTCGGAACAAAAAAACAAAAAAAAAAAACCCCGTGCAGTTTAAAAAAAAAAAAAAAAAAAAAAAAAAAAAAAAAAAAAAAGTCAGAACAAGAGAAATGCAAGAGAAATGAAATTCAACTTTTAAAATAACAGTAACAGTGTCTCTATGAATTCTAAGAGCAATCCAAGTCAGTGGTCAAGTCAGGTGTTGGGAGCACCCCAGTTTAAAGTGGCTGGGCAGAAGAACAGATCACAATCTAGTAACTACTTGTGATTCTGGTCTCAGGTTGGGACCTCTTATGAGATTGAGCTGTTAACCTGTGGAGTATAATGCCCCGAGGAGAATGTCAGCTGAGTTATAGGATGCCCAGGTTCAACTGCTAGGAAATTGCTTTATGTGTGTGCACAAAACACATGCTTGCCGGCCCGCCTGCACGCACGCACTCACGTTTGTCCTCAGGAGTATTCTGGAGCGGGATATTGTTTTTTCACTTAGAGCCACCCATATACCCATAGAGTGCAAATTCAGTCTTCTCACCTCCCTCAACACACTTTGGTCTGTACACCCTTCAGCAACCCCATTGCAGTTAAGAGGGTAGGGTTCTGCTTCGCTTCTGGGATACAGATGGGCCTACTTAGCCTCAGTACTGTTCATTAGCAACTCAGGGCCAGCCTCCAAAAAGACCCATACTTGTGTATTTCTTGGCTGCAAAGGGAAAATTCACCCCAGTTCCAGAAAAGCAGGGCATCTGTTTAGCTTATTATAACAATTTTCCAGATACTGTTGGATGTCCAGAGACCACAGCCAAGGGGTGGGGGCACAAGTTGTCCCAGGGTAACTGGGGACAGGGCAGCTTTCAACAATACTTCAGGTCTCTAGGCCTGTGAGACAATGCCCTTATTCAGTCAAGGATGGGACCTGCCAGCTTGTTAAGTATGTCCCACTTGGAAGGAGGGGACTGACAGAAACCCAAGAGTGGGATGGGGCTAAGAGACTCTCAGGAAAGTCCTTTGAAGTTACCTCAAGCAGGTTCTATTCCTCTACACCAGGACACCTGACAATAGCCACTCTAAGCACAACCTTCCTCCTCCAGGCACACTGGCCACTTTCTGACTCCAGGATGAACAAGACAGATGGCACTTGCAGAGGCTAATGGCAGGTGTCTCCTATATTTGTCTTCACGCTGTCTCTTTGGGGTAGACAAGGTCATTCCCATTTTCCAGATGAGAAAACCAGAACTCAGAGAGAGTACCAACTTTGCCAAGACATTACAGTTTCTAAAAGATTTCAGGCATGACTTTAACCTGACATTCACTGACTGAGCCTGTTTCTCTCTACAAGGTCCTATGTTCACAAAACCCTGCATAGAACAAGAAACTACCCGGGGCACTCAAGCCAGTGAGATCAGAGGCCACACAGGTGGCTGTGGGTGTCTCTGCCTATCTGCCTGCTTCAGCTGTGATGTTGTCCTCTTCTTCGCTCACACTGGACTGATACTATCTTGGTTCTGATTTTCAGATCTGGGCAGGACCTTCTACCACCAGCTTGGAGGTGGCAGATGATAGAACTTCTCAGCCTCCACAGTCATGTGACCAAGTCCCCACAATGAACCTATGCACTCTGCTGTTGCTTCTGCTGGCCTGTCACGACATTCAGAAGGACATCCTCCATTAGAGACTGATATGGTCTGTGCAGTAGATCTTCTAGGCCACACACTTTGTGGAACCCATGGCTCAGGAAACCTGCCGCAGAGAAGACCACATTTCTGAGCCCTGACAACTGTTCTTTGGGTACAGTCTCTTTAAAGGGAAAATCCATGAAGAAATCTTTGACTCAGGCACAGTCTGGGCTCAAAGATGCTTGATACCCCACACGTACTGTAAGGTTTTTCCTAAAATAGGCCCATCCAAAGGATGGTGCCCACCCAAAACAGGATTGTGTCACTCTTCCAATTGGTGTGCCAATGGTGTCACTTACTCATTTGAACTCCCAAGAGTCCTTGAGATCATTCAGTGGCTCCCATTGCCTCCAGGATAAAAGTCTTGGGCTGCATATCAGGTCCTCCATAGTGCAGTACCACCTATAGTCCTCTCTGACCTTATCTCCTATTTTCCTTTGTGCTTCCTGTTTACTAGTTTCAGGGCCACTCCCCACACCTCTCAAGCACTGCCCCACAGCTCACAAATGTAGCCTTCACTGCCCACTCCCCACCAAAGTATCATGCATTGCCCCGTTTCCAGTCTTCCACCCAGGCAGTTCCTTCTACCTGAATACCCTCTCCCTTGACACCAGACCTGCCTTCCTGAGCCTACGTGGTTACAGACAAAGTGCTCTTCCTTGAACTTTGCATTAAATTGACTCGTATTTGGTCATCTCTCTCTCATTACACTCTGAACTGGTGAAAAGGAACTTCCCTGTTCATCTCCATAACTCTGGCACTGACATTTTCTATTTAACAAATTTTAGTTTGTATTAAAGGTCTGCTATGTAAAGGGGCTATATTAAGTGCCAGGGCAAAGACAGTCAGCTGTGGCACATACTTGTAGTTCTAGCTACTCATGAGGAATAGAAGTTGGGAAGATACTTTAGGCTCAATAGTTAAAATCCAAGACAGAAGTCCATCTTGGTGGCTTACATACCTGTGATTCCAGCACTTGGAAGGTAGAGGAAGGAGGATCAGAAACTCAAGGCTAGCCTTGGCAACATAGTGAGTTCAAGGCTGGCCTGGGCTGTAGACTTGGTCTATAAAACAAGCAATCAAAGGCGAACAAAGCAAAAAATAAAATAGTGTCACACTGCCACAAAGAAGTTAACAACGCTCTGTGTTGTTCAGAGGAGAGAGCACCAGCTAGTCATCTGAGCAAAGAAACTAGAGAAGGCTTCCTGGAAGAGGCAGCATCAGAACTTGGGTGAGAAAAAGATTTCAAAGGTCGGATTAGGCGTTGAGAAAGCAGAGGAAAAGGAATGAAGCAATGCAGAGACCAGAAGATGCAAGGCGTGTAGGGACATCTCTAGCCTTCAGTATCAGGCTAAGACACTAGGTGTGTTTCTTCTATTTGGGTTTTGGTGGCCAGAAGTCACTGAAGTTTTTAAAGAGTGGGAAAGACAGGGTGAAAACAAGGAGACTGAAAGGGCATTGAAAAAGGGTGCCTTGTTTGGTGACTGTACATAGCACCACGTGGATAGAACACGTGAGGAGCACTAAGGCCTGTAGACACATCTATTTGGGACATAAATTTCCCTGACACACAACCCTCCACACCCCGGAGTCCCTCTGAACACTCACTGCCAGTCTGCCTGTTTTTACCTTGTCCATGACTGCAAGGCCGATGGCTTTCCTGAGATGCAGGGCCCAAGATGCAGAGGACCTCATCTGCCTCTGTCCTTGAACTGCTGGACAGTGCTGCGTACGTGCCAAAGTATAGGTTCCTCTCTCTTTCTCTCTCTCACTCTCTCTCTCTAGTGAGACAGTGGCACCTGCCCTGAGAAACTTCTTTGTGTCATACACCCCCTCCCCCAGTCCCCAGCCTATCCACCCTTCAGATGATGGGTGTGAAGTCTGAAGACTCCACCCCAGTTTCTCAGGCTTTCCTGGTGCCACCTCCTGGGGTCTGGACTCCCGACACCTCCTAGGATCCTAATACCTTCTCCTTCCCCTCTCCCCTCTGTTCTTCTAGGCCAGTGCTAAATAGTGCCTCTGTTTCCTATTGGGACTTGGGCTTTTCATCATTCTCCCTGACGTTCCCTGAGAGAGCCCATCTCAGGAACCACCTC